CGCTGTTAGAATCACTCCACTGCCAGCAGAGCATGACAAGCTGCCAGGGACAACATATAAACAGATGGCAGAGCCGTCCTGCCAAGAATGAACAACGAAGCCAAAAAATTACCAAAAAAAATGGGCAGCAGGCTGGATTTGGCCCTTGGGTTGTAGTTTGTGGATCTCTGACCTAGAAGAAAGGGCCTGCTCTCTGAAATTCTTGAAAATTCCACTTCTGGGAAAAGCGTGCAAGAGACCAGCCTTAAGTGTCAGCTCTGGTCTCTGCTGGTACAATTTTTAGGGCATTTTGGCCAAAGCCTGGAACCTGTTATGATTTCTGTGCCAAAGGAGAACGAGGCTACTACAGCTTAGCAAGGAAAGTAAGCTGTCCCGTGGACCTGATGTGCCTCTGTCCCAAGGATCCTCGTGGCTACCACTTTGTACTTCCAATTCTGTATTACCAGATGCAGCAAAAGGTGGTTACAAGTGAGCTCTTCAGGGGAAAGAAAGAAGGTTATGCAGAAGTCTTAAGCCAGCCCTTTGCCAACAGTCGGATCGGTAAGTACATTTTTCCATCTGTGCACTCGCTTCTCCTATTTTAAGAGTTGAAAGAGGATGCCTGACTCCGTAGCATGTCCTGACCATAGCTGAGGTCTTGGGTCACAGAGGGGCGTAAACCCAGCAGATACCAGTGGCTTTGGCACCAACATGGTATTTAGTGATGATTCGCTGTGTTCTGGTTCCCTCCCCAGATGAAGGAGACATTAATCCCAAAGTGCTTCAACTCATTAGCAATGAGAAAATCCAGGTAAGGAAACGTGGGTCTTTGGGTCCAACAGGATTCCCTTAACAGGGTCTGTTTTCTGTACGAAAAGTGTCTGGAAGCACTGTTGAAATGCAAGGGTGCATGTGGGTGGGCCGGGCTCTCGACTGTAATGCTCTGGGTATTAACGAAGACTGTGGGGCCGGGTAACGAAGACGTGACCACTAGGTACCTATTGCTGTTCTTACGGTCCTTATCTGTCACCCTAGAAACTGGGTTCAGTTTTCTTTCTTTTTAAAAAGATTTTATTTATTTGAGAGAGAGAACACGAGCAGGGGGGAGGGGTAGAGGGAGAGGAAGAAGCAGACTCCCCGCCGAGCAGGGAGCCCGATGCAGGACTCGATCCCAGGACCCCGGGATCATGACCTGAGCCAAAGGCAGATGCTTCACCGACTCAGCCACCCAGGCGCCCCATGGGTTTGGTTTTCTATGAAATTGAGTGAAATGCAGCCATGAACTTAATCCCTGAACATCCCCTATTAGAAGCGGTGTGGCAGGGTGTCAACACGGGCTTCGTAATTTAGCTGAGCGCCATCCAGGCAGGTTCCTTAAGCTCTTGCTGCCTCTGTCCTTCCGTGAGTGGGGATGGCGGGGGTCTTGAGAGGCCGGAGGCCGAAGCGGTTGATGGTGGGAGGCGCTGTGTGGCGATACCGGTTTGTCTGAGCCTCTCTCTGTTTGAGTGCTTGAAGTAACTGGTCTTAGCAGTCTGGGGTAACAAGGAACTCCGTACTCCACACTGTCCCCCCACGGGGTCACCTTGCTCTCCTTGCAGTATGGTATCCCGGTCATTAAATATGATAGGAAAGGCTTCAAGGCCCGGCAGCGCCAACTCCTCCTGACTCAGAAAGCGGCTTACGTGGTGGAGCTTGCCAAAATCAAGCAGAAAATAGAATACTCAACACTCAAAGGTAAGCAGGCCGTCTTCAGGCCGTTCACCGGGCGGGCGTAGCTCCCGGGGAACACCCGTAAGGAAGGCGCCCTCTACTGGAAGACAGAGTGTAGGGTGCCCGGAAAGCCTGGGGGGCTGCCTGGGCCTGGCCCGGGCTTCTTTTTTCTGGCGTAAATGAAAGCGGCCGCCCCTTCCCCCCACCCCCGATTGGACAACAGTCACCTTCTCCGATGACCTGTGTTTTATTCCAAGCGCGGCCCTTCACAGCCTCCTAGCATGCCGGCTGCTGGGGTGTGCCCTTCCTCCGCCTCTTTTTTCTGCATGAACGTCAAGTTGTCCAGTTCCTGGTCCCTAACTCTGGGGTCTGTCCTAAGGTGTGTCTACTGGCAGCCTCAGTGATGGCATCTTGGTCATTCACGTCTCGCCGGAGGACCACAAACAAAAGGTAAGTGACGGCCCCCCTTGCCGGCCCGAGGAGGGAGACCCTGCCGTGCTACTGAGCTGCCCCCCGTGAAGCCTCCATCCAGAAGAGTATTTTTCCTCGAGGCCACGGCCTCTGAAACTGCCCCGTCCTCTCCTGGTCAGGGGGATACCGTGTTACAGTGTGAGCACATCTTCGAAGCAGTCACGAAGCTCGTCATGCTGCTCAAGAGGGGGAACGTGGTGAATGTCGCTCAGGGAAGGTAGGGGCTTTCTTCAGCGATCGCCCGTTCACCAAGGCAGCCGGGGGCTTGCGGCCCAGTTCTCCAAGGAGGGCCTGCCATCCCTGGGGGGAAGCTGTTGGCCAGGGCAGGTGACAGCCACACCTTTCGCTTGAGCACCATGGGCCGCAGCTTGGCAGGCTGCTTACCACACTGATGAGAGGACAGCAGTAAAATTTCTTTAGGATGTAGAGGAAAAAGCCTTGGCACAGAGGGTGCTCTTATTCGAGTCTCATCTCTGAAGGAGGTGCCATGTTTTCAGTTTCACGGGCACAAAGCGGCTGAGCAGCAGGCCCTGTGTCAGCTGGCTGGTCAGGGACCATGTAGGGGTTCCTGGGGCTGAATCCCGGAGGCTCCCAGACCCCCGTGCAAGCAGCCTGCAAGCAGGCTGATGAGCAAATTCCTATGTGCAAGAGGGAGAGAGAGTGGGGAGTGCTCCCCTGAGGAGAGACCTGGTCACCCCATGAGCATTTCAGCAGGACCATACGTAGGTGGTTCTTCAGACGGCAGATTGGCCCCCTGAAGAACTGAACATGCTAAGTTGATTTGGGAACAGCCACAGAAACATGGGGTAAGTTTCCCAGTTGTGGCAATGGTTGTCTTTTGAGGACTCAAATGTGCACTAAAACTCTGTAATAATACAAATGGGAATTTGATCTCGAAGCTACCAGAGTCTCGTGAGTTTCTTTTGTAGACAGAAGGTGAAAAACAGAACATCAGTAACTGATCACTTGGTGTGTTTTCAGTTTACAGTTTTGTATCAGTCCTGGAAAAAAAGGCACAATAGTTTTCGACACAGGACCGGAAGAACAAATCTATAAAGATAAAAACGGCCAGTTAACAGTGGTGAGTGGCTGTGGCGGGAGGTGAGTTTTACCTGAGAATATAGATTAAAATGTGACCATTTTCAGCCCTCCTCTAGACTTTTCATGTCTCCCTCTGTTCCCGATTCTACATCAAAACAACAGGAAGGTATTGATGCCAAAGACACACATTCACACACGGGAATGAGAATGTTTGAAGCAAGCAAGTTTACCTCCCATTTCTAGTTGTTAGTGAACAGGACGGTGACATTAAATATCTTCTCAGTTTTAAATGCCAAAGCCAATTTTTCACGGGAGGGCCAAGGCCTAAGGCTCTCCCAGAGAGCTTCTGAACATACCTGGTCCGGAGTCTCGGCCTTGGACCCTGTGCTGTGACTGGCGGGCGTGTGGCTTGGGCTTTGCAATGGGAGCCGTGTCAGGTCCGAAGAGCCGAGCTCACCGCTGTCTGGTGCAGTCCAGGCTGGGTGCTCGGTGCTTTGTCCTCCCTGCTGGTCCCACTGTGCTAGGCCGGGCGTCCCAAAGCTCTCACTGGCCACGTGGTACACCGGGCTTAGTTTGATACCATTTTGCTAGGAAATGACAGAGTAAAACCTGAGGGGGGCATCTCTCAGATGTATTTTGTAGGTGCACCCAGTATTATTATCTGATACAAACGAATGAGCAGTCTGTCAATATATGGGGTGTCTCATACATACTTCCATTTGCATCCCCTTAACCGTGAAACTTTTTGTGGGTGGGTGTAAATAGGACCCCAAAGGCTTTCATAACACAATTGCCCCTGAGCTCCTTCAGGGAGAAGATAAAATCTTGAAGTATCATTTCAGATGTAAGCTATCAGGTGACTTTTCAGTTTACGTGCTGTCTTCGGGGTATAACCTTGAAGAATGATTTTGTCGTGGGAGTCACACAGCTTGTCTGCCTGACTGGCTCGGGCTGAAAATGCTAAGCAGCCTCACTGAGTCCTTTTCTAAATGCCCTTTGTCTCAGTGGCAGGTGGGGCTGGCTTCTAGAAGCTCGTCCGCACCGCTGCTGGGTCATCAAGGGTCTCTAACCTAAGTGTGGGCGCTCTCCCAAGGTGTCAGTCCGCACGAAGTCCTCTTGATCTCGCCCATGGCCATCCCTGTTCCGGCTGAGGAAAGCACCGAGGAAGCGGGAGGCTGTCCAAGGAGCTACACCTTCAAGGAAAGAAGTCCCAGCAGCTCTAGGCAAAGGAGCACCTCTGAAGAAACTGAGTGGCATCTGCCCATCTCCCGGTTCTCAGCAGCACTGGGGCACTAAAGGAAAAGGTCCTCTTCAGGGGCCCAAACTCAAGTTACCTGTGAGGATGGGTTTCAATGTCCCTACCCAGTCCTTCCCTCGATGGGTACTTGAACATGTCATTATAGGGTGGGCAACAGATCCGCTACCTTTGTCAAGCTGCCCCTGAGGAACAATTTGATAAAGCTGCAAATTTTGAATTTTGCTCTAACTAAATGGAATTTAGGCGCTTTGGGTTCCAGATGGGGAGCTGTAGCAGAAACGTTAACGCCGTGGGTGTGTTTCTTGTCCCGGGCTCCCCCCTTCCCTTGTATTAAAGTAGCAGCAACCCCAGCTGATTCACTCTGCTTTCCACCTAAGACTTCCTTACGGTGTTTAATAGAACGATGACACCCCCGCCCCTCCCCGGAGACTTCAAGGTGATAAAGCAGAATGAATGGAGGATAGAGGTCTTCCTCTCTTTGCTGTGAACCCCCCTCGCGCTGGCTGGATTGTGCTGGATGTTTCTGAAAAGACCCAGAAAATTAAACAGAGGCATCACGTAACTTTTATTTTACACGTCCACAAATGCTTGTACAACATACAGTGACTACTTCTAACGTTTATAGCATTTTCTTCATAGCACAAAAAGGTAGGTTAGTGACACAGGTGTGCCACAGGCACGCTGGGTGGAGCACACACTGTGGAGGAGGGCTGAGTGTTGCTGACACGTGGGTCCCGAGCAGCTGCTGGGAGGTACAGGTGAGCCCACCTACGCGGAGCGCGGGCTGTCCCTGCACCTCGGCCAGGCTGCTCGTCTGCTACCTACCGTGGGGGTGGAGGGGGCAACAGAAGAGGTTACTCCAGGATTGTCTTGGGCACAGGAGGAGGACTTCTTTCAAAAAGCTGTTTTACTTCAACTGTAAGCTCTTACAATGTAATAAAACTTCACTCTTTACCAAATCTTAAGCCAGTGTTTTACTTAGATGGTTCTTAAGTATAAATATGGACCTTTGTTTGCCCTTCAGGCTAGCATAAGAATCAGTTCCTTGTGGAATACATCTACTACCACAGCTTGGACCAGCCAACACTTGCTGTCATCTCCTGGCTGTGCGACTAACGGCGCGTCATTCACCACGGAATATTTCAGGAACCTGTTCAGATCCCAGGAAAGCAAAGACTCAAAACTACAAGTGTGAAGACTGCCAGAAACATTAGCTCATACGGTGTAGAAGCCCGAACAACTCCGATTGTTCCACAAACTTACTCTCAACAGAAAGATTTAAAAAACAATTCATATGATGGCTTTTCCATTCCTACAGAAAACATCACAACGGACATTCACTTTAACTTTCTAAAAAAGTTCAACCCAAACGTCAGGGTTGGCGTTTAAAACTAAAACGGTATATAAAATATTTACCAAACAGTATTTAAACCCCCCTTTCCTTAGCACTTAATAAAACCCGAATGGCCTAATATAGAAAGTTCCCCACAAAACAGTTTAAAAGGCATCGACCCCCATACATGATTTTTTTAGGTTCAGTCAAGATTGTTTTTAAGTTTTATTATAGGCTTTCCTGCTGGATACAAAATAAAGGCATACAACTGTCCCAAGAAGGGCAGTATGTACAAAAGCCTAAGCTGTAAAAATGGTTTCAAAATATAAACTCGTTTTTTGGAATACACTGTCAAAGGCTGCCCACCTCAATACCTTTGGTATAAAACAGTAACTTCCCTTGAAGAGCAGACAAATGCCATCCATTACCTTACGCACGTTCACATCTCCTTGTAACTACTCTACCTAGTCTAGTCGCGACCAGCCACATCAGTCACCACTCACTGCTGTCCCTTCCCAGGCGCAGAGGAGACTGGGAGGTAGATAACCGAGAACGTCCGTCCTACACGAGCACCGTGCGGACAGCTGGGCTCCAGCGCGGGCCCCCCTGCGCCCCACAAGCACACATCCCCATCTACAGTCGCACACGTCCCTTAAACACGAACACAAACACTTAGCTGGACCCCAAAGGAGCTGCACATCCTCTAACTTGGCTCGCTGTGGCCACTCCATACTGTGTAAAAACCAGAGGCAAAGACACAAAGGCGGTCTCGGGATGATGGCTACGTCTACAGCAAGCGAGCTGCCCCGAGACTGCTGGTGTGAATGGGCTTCCTGCCTGGATGCCAGGCTGGGGGACAGAGGCCGGGCCACGTCCACTTTCTAAGCAAAGGGCAGGGCTTCTACTTGAGACAGGAAGCCCAGCTTAACAGGGAAGAAGGCTGAGGAAGAAAGAATGGAGCACTGGGCGGTGTGTGAGCTCCGCTCATAACCAGGAGTTGGTCAATGGCCGGGGGGGGGGGGGGGGGGGGGGGGGGGGGGGGGGTTGTGCAAGTGTAAGGGGCAGGAGGTGAGGAAGGAGCCGGGAAAGGTGCACTCCCTGCCAGGGCCGGCTCTGCCCTTAGCCAGGTACGCGGGGTCCCAACAGGCCTGCCCCTCCAGTACAGCCGGGCCTCCAGAGCTATGCTCGACCAGTCACAGGCACGAAGCTCATCGGTCCTATTTTCGGTGCCACAAACTGCATGCATCTACCAACAAGCCAGAGGGGCAAGATCCTGGGGCCGAACGGACTTCCGGCAAAGCCCCGGAGATGGCCCGGTCTGACGCGCAGGAACGCAGCCAGCATGCAGGGCTGGAGGATTATGAAACGAGCTCAGGGAAACCTCTGGTGGCCGCCAACTGCAGGATCCCTGTTGCAGCAGTCAGATGGAACCCCGAAGGAATGCCCCCCGCAAAGGCCGAATAGGTAGTCAGCACCCATCAAAATAAATACTGCAAACAAAATTTCTCACGTCTACTTCATACCCATTCATACTTTTCTCCGAGAACCAAGAAAGCCTGGCTCCAAGGATTCTCAGATCCCCACGGAACGGGGAGACCTTGGGACACAGCTTGCTCAAGAACAGGGGTGTATTCACCTGGGGAAAGACAGTCACCTGGTTGAGAAATACCAAAATAATCATCTGGCTTGTTACAAAAAAGTATCTCCAGACTCCAGGGGAAGTGGAAGGTGCCCAGGAGGCTGCAGGCATCGGAGTGAAGAGCAGGGGAGAGGGGAGGAGGGCAGCTCGCCTGCTTGCTCACTGGTGGAGGTGGGCCCGGTCGTCTGGACGCTTGATGTGGATCCGCCGCACGCGCTCGATCCGCTCCCGCTCTCGCTCCTCATCTTCATCCAGGTGATGGGAGCGGCCAGCTGCCCCGCCTGTGGCCTCCAGGAGTGCGTTGTCAGGTCCTCGGCCATCCTGGGCCTCGTACAACAAAATATTGAGAGTCTCCTCATAAATCCGGGCCTCTGGGAACTCCACCTGCATCCCCACAACAAAACACAAGGCAGGTAAGTTAGCATCACCCCCCACCCACCCCCCACCTCTACTGCCACCTACTACTTCTGGGAAGGGCGGAGTTCCTTTGAAGATTGCCATTATTAGTTTTATAGTACCTTTCATTTACAACAGGCAATACTTACACATGGTGCTTACACAAGAAACAAAAGGTATACAGTGCCTATAAATGTAGATCATACACCTATGTATTCACACACTTTAAAATGCACAAAAGGTGGCCCATCACACACTCATCTGCACCTTTTCCTCTCCAACTTGGAAGATCCTTCCATAGCAGGGAATTACAACAATGTAACAATGCAATTAACTAACGAGGTCGTTTCCAAAAGGTTTCTACTCATAAGAGATCTATACCCCTGGAGCTGCTCCATAACCCCGAGCAGCCTTTAAAGCAGCCCCATTTTTTTGAACAGGGACCAGCTGAAAAGGACATGTCCCCTCCTGCTTGGTAAAGTTCTGTGTCCGCTGCTTGCCCTTCAGGGTTAAGGCACCGGGAACTGGAAGGAGGCTGTCCAAGTGGGCCCTGGGCACTTGACTCACAGAGTAGAGACTCTACTTTCAAAGGCAGGATTCTGAGGTTCCAAGACAAATGGAGGCAGCACACTCTCCACTGTCTTTCCTACTGAGACCACAAAACCAGGAGAGAGAATGGGCAGCGGCTGAGGACTGAGCGACATGAATCGTGGCAGACGGGGCGGGGGGGAGGGAGGGGAGACCAGAGTCTGGAATGACACCTAACCAGCAGAGAGTTTCCTGCCCAGAGGTAGGTCAGTGCAGCCTGCACCCCCGGAACAAGCATCAGCAGAGAGAGCCCCAAGGGGGCACCAGCGTCTCCCAACACCTGGCGAGTTCCAGGTCTTCCTTTTTTCTTTTCTCCATTTTCTCGCACTCCCCCCCCCCCCCCAAAAATCTTGTGGCAGCAAAGGCCGGAGCCCGGGGGAGTCAGAACTCTGAAGGGGAACCTTCCTTTCTGATGAGGAGAGCTGTGGTCCCATCAGGGTGGAGCGAATCCCTGCTGTTGTTCTCTCCCTTCTTCATGCCATTTGGCTCCAGGTACAGGTCAAGTCACGGGCAGTCTGTGGCAGAGCGGGGACCTGAGGCCCCAGCTTTCTGGCCAGATGACAGAAAAGGGGAGCCCCAGGGAAGCAGGAAGCACCGAAAGATGGCAAAGGACGGGTGCCTGGGAAAGCAGCTTCTTGAGGTTGTGCACGAACTCCTGGGCTTGAGCCCAGCTGTCAACCTGTCCCTCAACAAACAGCACACACAGAACTGAGCAAAGGCACAGACCGCTGCCCGGGACACAGACCTGCCCTCAGTGCGGCCCAGATCTGAAGGCTTTGAAACCTGGGCTGTCACTGGCACTGCGACCCACAGCTGGTTGGAACTTGTGGCCCAAACCCAACTGGGTCAACTGCCTGCTAAAACAAAGAAATCAATGTTCTCATTAGAATTTAAACAATACCTAGAGTCCTGTAACATTCAGAATATCCAGGGTACAATTCGAAAGTTCCTGGCATGATGAAGAACCAGAAAAATCTCAACTCCTGAGGGAAAACATAATCAAAAGATACCAAGTCCAAGATGACACAAGATGTTGGAATTATCTGACAGAGACTTGAAAACAGCTGTTATAAAAATGTCCCAATAAGGAAGGGCAAACTTTCTTAAAGCAAATGCAAACACAGGAAGTCTCAGCAAGGAGACAGAGCATCGAAGAAAGAAATGAAAACCGTATGACTGAAAAATATAGTAACCAAGGGCAACACAAAAACAAAAACAAGAAACAAAAAACCCCAATTCACTGGCAGCATTAACAGAATGGAGATGACAGAGGAGAGTCCGGGAACTTGGAAGACACAGCAACAGAAGTGATACAATCTGAACAAGACCAAAAACAGACCAATAAAGGGTGCAGTTCTGTGCTCCATTCTCACCGAGTCCCCAGTGAGTCAGAATCAAGAACCAAATGGACAACATATGTATTACATATCTACTTATGCCTTACTTTCAGCAAGCCATACCTTTTCCAGCTTAACCACACAAGACAGTTAAATGATTAAAAGAATTAGCAGAGCACCTCGAATGTTGTATCAAGAAAGACAGCAATACAAAAACCCCCAGCAGGAACATCCACCCCGTTATTCGAAGCAACAAAACACAAGTGTCAGCTCCAAAGCACGGCTCCTGACAGTGTTGGCCAGAAGGTGGCACCTGCTTGTGTAAGGACAGCCATCCCCTGACATGAACCCCCTGGAAAGCCAGTCATATGCCTTTCCTGGAGCAAAGAAGCAGCCCTTGGGGACAGGATGGCAGAACAAAAGGGGCCGTGGCCTGCCAGCCGGGGCCCCATCTCTAGCCAGTTTCAGAAACACAAGCACAGGCTTCCTCTGGAACCTGCGGGCTAACCTACAAATGGCTGGGATCAGACTGTGCCGTCTCTGAATCCTCTGCTCCCTGTTAAACTCTGAAAATGTAAAGTAGTATTTTAAAGCTTTAATCAATAAGACGATTACCCGGTTAATATCCAAGGACAAAGGCAACCCGTGTATATAACAAAACCAAACTGACAAGACGGGGAAGCTAGTTACAGGTGGAATTCACAGCCCTAAGAGCAGCTCACAGGAAAAAAGAGGTGTGCATCTTGCTGATGTGGTAAAGGGAAGCAAGCGATTCTAGTCCCCCTGCAATCTTTGAAAGAAAAAGGAACCTCAGGGTTTTTCCCTTCTTGGCTCTCTTAAACCAATACCTATCTTTTGGGATATCCTCTAAATACCAATGATAAAATGTTTTTAAAGTTTAAAGAAAAACATGCTAAGAACTCTGGTTTCTACATTGTGGTCTCATTCTCTCTCATTTGCCTTTTCTTCTGAGGCCAGCTCTAGAATCACAGGGAACTGTGTGTTCCTGGAGCCACAGTGATGATGGTAGCCTGACTGGATGATCTACAGATTCGTGTGTGAAAATCTGCTCAGCAGACCCACTGCATGTCCCTGGTAATCAGGGTCCCTTTAGCAAGGTTCAGAGGGAAATGACAAAGTGTATCGTAGGATTTTTTTTTTTTTTTTTTTTTTTTTTTAAGAGGAAGAAAACCGAGTTGCATAGCCCAAGAAGGGCAAGCAAGCAGAAGACCTGAAGGGACCAGATCTCCAAAAGCAGCCTGTGGCATGATCTAGCTTCGTAGAATGGCAAAGTGACAGAGGTCAAGCCTGTTGGTTTGGAGAAGATGACAGAGCGCATTCATAGAGTCCAGATCTGTCAGGAAGTTGTGTGCTCAGAAGGAAGCCAACAAGCCTGGGAGCTAAGGAATGCCCAGCAGGCCCGTGAGGGAGGAGGGTCACTCCAGGTCAGTGGGCCAGAGGAGGACAGACAGATGGCAGGAAGTCGTAGGTCATGACTAGAAAGCCAAGGTCAAGCTCTTAAAGGTAGCACGGTCCCTCTGTCGACTGCAATGGGCTGGGGCCATGCTGGCGGGGGATGGTGGTACATGGAGGCTGAGGGGCAGCACAGGGCCACGTCCCGTCACTGACCGGAAACAAGGCTGCTGGCACGATGACAGCGGTCTGAGGATACAGCTGAACGGACTTTTTTCATTGTAAGGTTTTGTTTTTTTTTTTTTTAACTTTTTTTTTTTGTTTAATAGAGAGAGTGAGCACACAAGCAGTGGGAGCACACAAGGCAGGCAGAGGGAGAAGCAGAATCCCCGCTGAGCAGGGAGCCCGACGTAGGGCTCGATCCCAGGACTCTGGGACCACAACCCGAACCAAAGGCAGACGCCCAACAACTGAGCCACCCAGGTGTCCCTAAGGTTTTGTTTTTAAGTAACCTCTACATCCAACGTGGGGCTCGAACTCAGGACCCAGAGATCAGGAGTTGCACACTCCACCGACAGAGCCAGCCGGGCGCTACTCTCAATCAGCATTTATGGCAAAGGGACTGAGGTGCGGTAGGACTGTCCCTGTTTGCAAATGGTCAGAAAGGAAATGCCATTCTGCTTCTCCGAGACCTAGATGTGACTCTCCCTGGGGCCCGAAGATAATGAGTATTTTCACAATGAGCAATCATGCGTCAAGGAAAGCATTTTTAAAGCCTTTCCCTCTTTAGGGTTGTTTTGCTCCAGGGGAAAGGGAAGCGGCACAAGAACGCATTTCAGACCAGCCACCCAGAGCCGCCGTTGGAGCTCTGACCTTGGTCTGTTTCTTCTCAGTGGCATAGACGATGGAGGTGCAGCAGACCTCAGCAATCTTGCGGCCCTGACCGTAAAAGGACCAGCAGCAGATTTCGTCCCCAATGACGTCCTTTATGAACAGGACCCTTCCGTTAAAGCGCAGAGACAGCTTATCAAAGAGCTCAATGTTTTTCAACATATTGTCGTCAGAATTGCTGCAAAAGAGCATTTGAGAAGGTGAGTGTCTCCCCCCCTCCCAGGCTAGGGCGGCCGCTCTGCTGGGCTCTGCCGGGGCCGGGGAGGAATCGGGAATGACTCGGGGCCCGTGGGCACAGGCACCAGGTGTGGAGCGTGAAGGGAGCCCCGCGAGCCCCGGCAGTGGCAGAATGCAACTGCTCAGGGGAGACTTTCCAACTGGGGTCCGTTTCTGGGTCTTGAGGAACCTCATTAAACCCCCTACAGCTGAGACCACATGGTCCCAAGAGCCAGAAGACATCTAGAAACCTGTATATATTGCTGGTGGGAATGTAAAATGGTGCAGCTGCTTTGGAAAAACAGTTTGGCAGGTCCCCAAATGACTAAACCTAGAGTTACCATTGGACCCAGCAATTCCACTCCTAGGTACCCCCCAAGAGAAAAAAAAAAACCTTGGTCCACATTGAAAATGTGTATATGGATGTTCACAGCAGTATTCACAATAGTCCCAAAGTGGAAACAACCCTGAATGTGCATCCACCAATGAATGGATCAACAAAATGCAGTAAAGATCCACATGATGGGACATTATTCAACTATAAAAGGGGATGAGGTATTCATACACATGCCACAAGAATGAACCTTGACAACATGATGCTAAGTCAAAGAAGCCAGTCACAAAAGCAATGTATTATATGATTCCATTTATACGAAGTGTCCAGTCGGCAGAGAGCAGTGTTAGCCAAGGGTCGGGGGGGGGATGCTGGAGGGGAATGAAGAGTGACCGCTAATGGATTTCTTTTTGAGGTGATGAAAGTGTTCACAAAGCAGGCATGTGATGATGGCTGAACAGCTCTGTAAATCTACTAAGCCCACTGAATTATATACTTTAAAAGGACAGCCTTTATGGTATGTGTGAATTCAATCTCGTTATCTATCGTCTGTCTCCCTGGGCATCCTCGAGGTGCAGAGGGCCACCCTCACTGGAAGGTAACAGGAGGAGCTGGGCCTGGCCTGTGCGAGCGGAAGCTTTCCTAGCTAATATGGGGTGGCTCTTCCCACGGACACCTTACCTGGTATACGAGTATTTGTTGTTACTTCTGTTGTAGAGCAGCTTCACGGCTGGCTGAGGGTGGTTAGAAAAAAGAAAGAAAAGAGTCACTTGGGGTGGAGGTACTGTGGACTGGGGGCTGGGCCCTGCCACCAGGTCAAGGAGGCAGCTGAACACAGCTGTCAGACTGCGGGAAGGGGGTGGGCAGGGGCAGAGAGGGAGACTGCAGGACCCACAGCTGGGGTCGGGGGGGGGGGACCACACAAGATGAGCTGCAGGTTCCCATTCTTCATCCCTCCTCAGGCCTTGCTCAGGCACTTCTATAGGTTTCCATTTCAAACCTTATTCATCATTTGGGTAGCTAAAGAAAGGCCACAAGAGTGCCTCCAACATACCTTATTTGAAGTCGCTATAAGTTTCTGCTCTTCCTTGGATGAGGTGATGACAGGAACTTTGCAGAAAGGCTCGTAAGTGTCTTTGTTCTGCTGGAACAAAACATACTTTCAGCCTAGGAGGCCTGCCTAGCATCGGATTATTTCAGCTGGCCTGCAGGGCACAGACAGGGCTCTGGCGAGGGAAGATGGGGCTGCCAGCACTGGGAAGAGAGAAGGATTCTTACCACCAGTGAATCAGGGTGGGGGACGGCCAAGAGTTGAGCTCTCCAGTAAGTCTCAATAAATCCTAACAACAATGACACACTTCCACAGCCCAGGGAGTCACTTAGAAATAAAGTCTAAACATGGCACAGGACGTATGATGGCATCGAAGCACCCCATTGCAACAACTGTAGAAAGAACTTAAAAAGTATAAGCCTAGAAGGAGAAAAAGAATGGGAGAAGTGACGTCTACAGACAAAAGATGTCAAAAATCTGAAGCTTTCGGGGAAGCAGATGAGGGCTAACGGAGGGGAAAGAGAAGGCCGAAATGAGTAAGCAGATGGGAAATAATCCTGGAGGTTTTCCAAAACAGTTCTGAAGGCTGGTGGGCAGAGGGCAAGAGCAGAGGATTGCTAGCCAGTCAGCAGAAGCACCAGTGAGACACCCTGCTCCCCCAAATGGATCCCCTTCCCCAGGCAGAAGAAAGGTCTACTTTCCTAGAGTGGTTTGTACAGATGAGGACAGGGCTGAGCTGCTCTTCTGAAAACGGGGATTAAGTGAATGGTCTACATACTAAATGATGAGCCGCAGCTCCCAGCCCCTTCTCCTACTCAGATCCCAGAAGGCAGCCAGCCAGGCTTATCCCCACCAGGCAAGAGAGTGGAGGATCCCTCCATAGGAATCTGATCTGTCCAGGAGAAGGCTTATTATAGATTCTGACACTGGGGGTTCCCACTGAAAGAGCCTCATCATCTACCACTAAAGCCCACTGGACAACAAGCCTCACCCACGCACATACAGCTTTTCAGAACCTTACTCATGAATTTTAACAGACCAAAGATCATCAGATTATATGTGGAAAGCCTCTCAACCATGAGACTGAAACCAAAATACAGAGGAAAAGGGAAGGAGTCATGACAAGGGCAGCAGAAAGAAAACTTCAAGACAGAGGAGAGCAGATACTGAATTCTAGGAAACAAGAGCAATGGTCTATATAAAGAAGAACACTCGGAGAACATGAAAAGGCTCCTGGAAATTGGAAATATGATAGCAGAAATGAAAAGTTCACAAGAAGGGCTGAGAAGATGAAACTGAAGAAAATCTCTGAGAAAGTAGAACAGGAAGATAAAAGCAACAGAAACTGAGAAGAGGTCAGTCCTGAAGGTTCAGTCTTAAGACTACGAGAAACCATAGGAAGGGAACCCAGAGAGCTTGTCTCTAAGACAAAGAAGAAACAGATATTCACTGGTGTGTCTGAACACACCAACAGGAGATTGAACTTTCTTACCATTTAGGGATGAATTATGGATACGCACTTACAAAACCAAGCAGACAAAACAATGAGGCAATCACTAACTCTGGAAAACTGAAAAGTTGCACAATAAAGAAAATTTTCACTGTACACTCTGTGACTCAACTGTTAACAATACTTAGACATCACAATGTAAACTCTGAATACTGATTTAACCAAAGCTGTGATAAACACTGTACTGGGAAAAGAGGAGAAGGAACATGTGTACATGTTTGGTAGTGGTTGGGGGGGGGGTGTAACAGTAGTGCATGAGCTAAATATTAATTTTCTATACACTAGTACATAATGTTGAAAACTGAAATATCAATAAATAGCAGTATAAGAAATATGAAAGCAAACAGAACTGTTGAAAGAATTAACAGAGGAGGGGCGCCTGGACACCTCAGTAAAATGTCCAACTCTTGATTTTTTTTTTTTTTAAAGATTTTATTTATTTGACAGACAGCAATTGTGGCACAAGCAGGGAGAGCAGCAGGCAGAGGGAGAGAGAGAAGCAGGCTCCCCACAGAGCAGGAAACCCAATGTAGGGCTCAATCCCAGGACCCTGGGATCATGACCTGAGCCAAAGGCAGACACTTAACGACTGAGCCACCCAGGCGCCCCTTGATTTTAGTTCAGATCATGATCTCAGGGTGGTGAGATCGAGCCCCATATCGGGCTCTACATTCGGCATGGAGTCTGCTTGAGATTCTCCCTCTTTCACCCATCCCCCTCAAATAAATAAATAAATAAAATCTTTAAAAAAAAGAATAAACAGAGCAAAAAAGTATGATGTATATACATTAACAAACAAAAATGAAATAAAAATACTAAAGTAAAGGCTATAGCATTCAGTTAGATTTACAGTGGGTTCAGACTCTTGCAGTAGAGGTGGTATACTGTAGAAACAACAGTTTCTCAAGGAGCTAGGCAGTAAGGGTGCTCCAGTGGAGGGCCAGACAGACATGTGGCCTGAGGGAGGCCCAGACAAGAGCCTCATATATACAGATCCAATTCCTATGAAAACCTAAAGGGACTCTTATGATTCTCTGCCATGTTGGAACTTTGCTTGAAATAAATGGCCACTGGCTATGTCCACAGAAGCATTTTGGTTTTATAGGGATTTTGCCATCACCAAACTTGACCCCAGTGGTCCTGCCCTAGGTCCAGCTGAGGAGTGAGGGGTGTCTGAGTCTGCAGAGATTATAGAGGCTCCCAACAATGACTGGTGGGGTGAGAATAAGTCCTCAGATGCGTCCAGAAAACTGATTCCCCACACTGAAGGGTTTCAGTGTACTTATGAAATGACCCAACACCATGGCAACTGAAAGCCAGAGGGTAGTTAGGTGGCATAAGCATTGCAGGGAAGCCTCTAAGGGGTCACTGACCAAAGGAGAGAGAAGCTCCAGGGTTACCTGTGAACTCGCACATCTCGGTGAGGAAGGAACTGCCCCCATTTTGTAGAAGAGGAAAATGAAGAAAGCAGGTTGCCTGGTACCTCCCCACTCATATGGGGAAAAACGGTGATACCTACTTGTAAGGCTGCCTGGCATTCTTCCACCAGGCCCTGGACCAGGTAGTACTTGGCTTCTGCCAGCAGCTCCTCAATCTCCCGGCGGCTCTCGGGCAAGGGTACCGCCCCGTCACGGAGGTAGTTGAGTATTGTACCGAAGTGTTTCCCACACCGGTCAATAAGGATCCAGCCTGCAATTGGAGGAGGAGAAGGGGGGCCTAGTTACATGGGCGCTCATCTCCTAGAAAGTGCTAAAGACAAATGGGGTATCTCTTGGCTCCCTCTACCTCCAGGGGAAGAGCAGGACCACAGAGGGGGCAGCAGCCCCACCTGCCTAGCTATGAGCAAAGGGCTAAGCCCTGCCTGGGGAAGCACTGCAACGACCTCCAGGCCCTGCCGGCTGGGGACAACCACAACCACGGACTCATGTGATCTCAGCCTCTTTTGGACGCCAGGACCTCTGAAACCTAAAAGCATGTTTCTAAAGTGTCCTCAAAAATCCCTCAGCCAGCCCGAGAGCGCACTACACCTGGATAAAATGGGTCCAAACGACCACACCCCAACAACAGGGGAAAAGCTGGAGGTAAAAGTATCTACTCTCCCTCTTTCCACGATGCTTTTTTCAGATTTCCACATAACAGAGCCATTTCTAAGGAAGAAGACTGCAACCTCTGGCTCCCAAAGGGGATCCCCGACACTCACTACTACCACCTCGGGATGTTCCTTCCTTCACTTCCCCAAAAAAGCACTTACTGGCTAGTGACGATGACGAGAGAGAAGATGGTCAACCAGACAGACCTTGCCTCAGACAGTTCAGTCTAGCACGGGGAGATGGAACTTGCTTTCATGAACTATGGGAAAATGTGCCAACTGCTGACCAGAACCAGGCATAGCAAGATACTCTTGGGGGTGGGGGCCAGGAAGGCAAGCCCTTCAGCTTGATGACCTCTCCAATGTGGGGACTGGCCTGCTATACCCCTACTAGGGATCCCCAGGTTTTCACAATTCCTCTTCAGAAATGGAAATATCTGGGTGGAGGGTGGTCTGTTACTTGCAGGAGGAAACAATGCTGAAGCCTGGGAAGTGGAGGGACCGAAAGGAGAGGCAGAGATGAAGCAAAGACCTGGTATGTCTTGACAGAGGACAGGAGGCTCTAGAAAGAAGTCAGGTTATAGAGAAGTCCCCCGCTCTCCCAAGCCAGCAGGGCAACCCCAGCAAGGGGCTTCCCCAGGTCTCCTATCCCCCATTACAAGGTGAGAGGACACCAAGGCAGAGGGCAGTTAAGTTCAAACAGGAATCCATAATTTTATGCCTCACTTTCCTCAACGGTTGCTCAGTTTGGGAGAAGGGGCCCACACTTCCGCTCCTAACACCATGCCACCCTGCCCCAAGTCCTCCGCAGACCCCCAGGACCTGCCTTAGACACAAAAGCCAAGAGCAGCAAAGACACCTCTTCCATATCCAGAGTCACAAGTCCACCCACCGCCCCCTTCCCAAATCCAGCCCTGCCAAGCATGCTCTCAGAGTTAGAGGGCACTATATTTATTTGGTATGTGCAACAATCCCTAGGAGAGTTTGGTAAGAAGGCCACTTCCATACTCCCGTCCTACGAACTCCTCAGCCCAGGGCTCCTGGACCTTTGCTTAAAGGTGTGGTCTTGTCCCTCCAGAGGCTTTCGCTTGGTACTTCCCCACTGCTACGGTTTCCTGAATACAGTGGGAAGAGTAATTCCCAGTGTGGCAAACAACGCAAACGTGTGGCCTGGAGTCAAATCCCGGTTTCAAGGAAGGAAGAGGCCTTCACAGGCGTGGTAAATCACATCACCCTGACAGTGACTGCTGGACCTCATCCCACCACTTCTTTCTACGTTGAGACAATAAAGTATTGACACAGCGTCTGCCCTGCAGCTCAGATGCCTACAGGGGCCTGCAGCAAGCAGCATAAATGAGTGGATGGGGCCTGGGCCCGGAGGTTGACCAGAAAGCACGTGCCCTGCCCCCTGGGGACAGGAGATGGGGAGGCTCTTCTCACTCCAGCCAAGAACAGCTAGGCAGGAATGTGGGCCTAGGGCTGTATGAGCCTCTGATATTCCAAGAGATGCCAGAAATGCAGGTTTCTCTGTGAAACCTCGAGCAAAGAAAACCTCTCTGCAGGCCGCCTGCAGGCTAGCATTTTGTGAGCTCTCTGCTACCCTGGATCAAGTGCTTTCCTGCCAATGAGCGGACAAGGTGTGGAAGGACCATATTATCTTCCCAACAGTTCTTTCGGAAGGAAGCGAAGTCTCCTGCACTGTCCACAGATGACAACAGAGCCTCAGAGAGGTTTAGGGACATTCCCAAGTCAGGGAGGCAGAACTAGACCACAAAAAGCAAGGAAGAAACTCACAGGAAAGCTCCTTCCACCAGAATTGAGAAGACGAGTAGAGCCTCAGTCTTCAAAGCAATGGCAAACCCATTTAGCTCAGCAACTCTGGGAAGAAAATGTCCATGTTCTGCTTTTGATGCGTGGACAACTTAGCTGCTCAGAATGAGCAGGGGCCCCTGAAATCAATTATCCAAGTGACAGTCCAGAGTTTCCATAAACGAATAGGCAGACCGTGACATTGGGCTCCAGCTCAAGAATGTCGTCAGGAAATGCTTGTGGTGAAGGAATCATACTTTGGACAAATAAGGGCAAAGGAACCGGGCGCGCTCGCCATGAGGTTTCAATTAGCATTTTGATTTTAAAATATTTTAGTTGCTTTTGAAGCCGGAATCTACCCCTTTGAAACAGCTCAAATGCCTCGCATGTAGAAAAGCAAATGGAAGTCAAGCAGCGCCTTGCTTGTGGGGAGTCTGTCCAGCTGCTGTGGAGCATGCAGGCTATTTCAGAAGGCTGCACCAGTCAGGGCAGCCGGCGGCCTATCCCGCAAGGCTGTGGAGCAGAACAGGCAGGCACAGACCGGGAGGCTCTGGAATGGTTTGGGAGATGCAACACAGCCCAGTGGTTAAGAGCAAGGGCCTGTGTTGGAAATCCAGTTCTGCCGCCTACTTGCTGGATGACATGGGTGTTGCACCAAACCTCCCTGTCCACCAGTCTCCGAGTACCCCTCAGGGCTGGTACAAAGGCACGACGAGAGAAGACATGGGCAAACACGCAGCACAGTGCAGATTTTACTGGCAGCACTCAAATGAGGTCTGTGACAGTGAGCCCTTCCCACATCTCTTCATCCTCGCTGGAGAACAGAGCACCAGCAGTGTCCAGCAGGGGCACATTCCAGTCCTTAGGAGAGTCCCAGTGGCTTTCAGGGTACCCTGGAGAAGGCTTCTCTCAGGGACCGGGGACTGGGCGGCAAGGCTTAACCCCCTCCCAGCCCCGCCAGCATGCCATGCACTTCTCCTCTCTCCTTTCACTGCCCCCACCTCCAGGGACGGGGTGGCAGGGGGAGGGGGACACAGGGGCAGAAGGCCTTCACTGACCTCTCCTTAGCATCCTAAGGTTTTGTTTGGTTTTTTTTAAGATTTTATTTGAGAGAGAGAGCACATGAGAGGGGGAGGGTCCGAGGGAGCAGCAGACCCCCTGCCAAGCAGGAAGCCCGATGCGGGACTCGATCCCGGGATTCCAGGATCATGACCTGGAGTTGATTCCTGGGAGGGGCATCCAGGCTAGCATCCATGGCTTGGTTGGTATTAGCTATTGTGCCGACTTATACTCCCCACGGTCCGAATTTGTGCCAACACTGGGCACAAACCTCTTAATTATTGCTAATCTGATACTCTGGTTTTATTTAACATTTCCTAATTTCAAGCACATCGAGCATCTTTTTGTCATTTGTGTTTGTTTAGCTGCCTGATTACATCTTATTTACACATTTTCCTGTTTTTTTTTTTTTTTTTGCTTTATAAAGTATTCTGGATCCATTTCTTTGTGATTTTATATTGTAAATGTTTTCTTCCAATGTGACTTGTTACAGCTTTTTTAATGGTGTTTTTTTGATACCTCAAGGTTTTTATGTTGGGGTTTTTTTGGTTTTGTTTTTTAACATTTAGGTCTTCAGTTACCTAACTGATGCTCAACCAGGGATGATTTTGACCTCCAGGGGACATTGGGCAATGTCCAGAGATGTTACTGATTGTCACAGTTTGGGGGTGGGAATGCTCCTAGCACCTAGTCGGTAGTGGCCAGGGATGCTGCTAAATACCCCACAATGCACAGGACAGTCCCTCCATAACAAAGAATTACCCAGTCCAAAATATCAGTAGTGCTGAGGCTGAGAAGCCCTGCCCCAGAGGATCATGACCTGAGCCGAAGGCAGTTGCTTAACCAACTGAGCCACCCAGGCGCCCCAGCACCCTAAGGTTTTTATACTCTATTTCTGTGTTTCCCAAACTTGCCTGTTTATAAGTCACCTGAGGTACTTGTTACAAATTCAGATTCCAGGAAGCTGCCTCATTCCCGAACCACATCTTTCTGGGGAGGAGTCTGGGAAAGGCCTTCTTAAGAAAAGCCATCCTTTGGGGGTAAGGTAGAACTCAACAGTATATTCCCAAAATGGAAAACCAGCATGAATGTTTGAACTAGAGCTATATATTATTCATGGCTCTATCTAACAAGCATTATGCAAAGAAAGCAAAGAGACGATAGACAATGTAACACCGTCTATATAACATGGGAAAACACACCAACAATACATTGTTTAGGGACAGAAACAGTATAGCATAATTACTGATTCCCATCAGTGTTTTTTACCCCTGGATGCATATTAGAATCCCCTGCAAAGCTACTCAAAGTGCTAACATCCAGTGCATCTAGCTGGGGGGGAGGGGGGGGGGCGAAGAACCCAGGCAGGAGGCATTAGCAAGAGAGCAGCTGAGTCACTGTGCTATGGAGGTTGAAATTCACCTAGTGACCCCAAGTCAGGCAAGTGGTTATCTCTGGAAGGGAGAGAGGCAAATAAAGAAAGTAGAGAGGTCCCATCAGCCTAGGTAACGTTTTATTCCTTGTCTGAGTGGGGGTGATGTGGAAAACAAAGGCAAAAGAAATGTAGAAAAAACTACATCTCCTTACAACTTGCAGCTCACTGACTAACACTTGGGACAGGCAGAGAGACCTTCCTCCAGGAACTCAACTGCCGCTATGTTAATACTTTGCTAGGGACAAAAAGCAACCTTAGTTTGGTAGTAGCCTGATCTCCCGGATCCTGGAAATCTTCTTTAACATAAAAATCCCTTCGTGAAATTCCTTTATCTCTACCTGCCCCAAATATATGTTGGCAATCATCCTCCAAACTTAAGGCCCACTGAAATACATCTGAAAGGTCTCACGACTCAGGGTTTACTAGACAGTATTGTAAACGACCTTACCCTAACCACATCTAGCCCCTCAAGGTCCTGGAAACCTTACTTCCAAATTCCTTCAAGACTTACGCTATCCCTAACCCTCTCCCAACTTCAAAGTACATCACCAGCCCCTCCTGGTGACCTCAGTGCAGCTCCTTCTGCCCACGGGTCCTGTCCCCAGCCCCGTGCTTTAATAAAAACCATCTTTTTTGCACCAAAGATGCCTCAAGAATTCCTTCTTGACCATTCACTCCCCGGCCCCAACATTTCACATCAGGGGCACGAGGGAGTTTGTTTTATTCATCACATTTTAAAATCACATTTTAAAAAAGCTCTCGATGTATTCACAGTTTTACAGAAGAATGCATTCTAATTTAAGCAGGAGGCATGGGGATCTCAAGGAAACCACCGGGTACTACGGTTTTCCCACAGACTACATGGATTTCCCCACTGGTTTTCAAGGGAATGTGTGCTGATAATAAGATTAATGATTCCCTTCTTTAATCTGGTTCACATACTCCCTCGTTCCAGAAACATTAGCAAGAGACCAGAAACCACTGGGAAGGGGGCGTGGGGAGGTGGACCACTGTACCACGGAACAGGGTTATGAAACAGGCAACTATAGGTGAGTACGGAGGCAGAACTCTTGTTGGGAAAGATGCCACATCCCTCCATGCTGACAAGGAATCAGGTAAAAATGCCAGTACTGGAAGAACCACACCTTTCTGGGAAGGAGTCTGGGAAAGGCCTTCTTAAGAAAAGCCATCCTTTGGGGGTAAGGTAGAACTGCAGAGCGCTCACCCCCAAGGCCAAAGGCGGGCCATTTCTCCCCCCCCCCCCGGCCCCCGGCGCTAAGACCTGCTTCTCCAGCCCCTCACAGCGCTCCTCCCTCCACCTGGACATACCCCACCGAGGCAGGCCCCACAGACTGAGTCTCCCACTTAATCCTGTAACAACCCTGAAAAGCATTACCATTCGCAACTTGGAAAAGTGGAAGCAAGCTCAGAGAAAGTCACCCGCCCCGTCCCATTACCAGTAAATGACAAATGAGTCTAAATCAGCCCAGTGCCACATACACAGCAGCAGCTCCATCAACATGAGCTGTGACTGTTACCCTGGGCCAGAGCCAGGGGACCAAGCCCACTGACTGCAAACTTCCCAGTTTAGGAACTGAACACACACACAGGACAAACCGTCAACAGAGAAGGGCATGGAGCGCTAGGGAGAGTCCACCACCCCACTCTGGGCCCCAGGTCCTCTCCCCAGAAGCAACCAGTTTCTCGGGCATCTCTCAGGGGTTTCTAGCAGCTCCGTACATCACTGTTCTGTGCCCTCGGAGCCCCCGTTCCTCAGCCAGCAGGACACACTGCGGCAACCACTCGCCTCACAGAGCTGCACTTGCGGTTTTGGCCTGTTTATGGCAAACCTCACTGCAGGCGACAGGCTTCCTGCCTGAAGCCCAGGGTGCAGCTGCGAGATGCAGACATTTGAGACGCGGGACATTTAGGTTAATTTGTAGACCCAAGGGTGTATCTGGGCCAACACTCAGGCCACTGGTCAGGCTGTGCAGTGTACTCACCAGAGGCCAACAGGACCACGATCGCACTGCCTGGCATAGGGTGGGTGGGCTGGAAGACCAGACACAGAGCTGGCGGCTGACCCATAAGGCTGCGGAGCTTCAGGCAACCTGGCCTGGGGGCTGGGCCCTTGGTGAACTGAACTAAGGCGAGCAGAGTAAGAGCCAGCAAGCTCTGAGCTCGGTGGTTTTTTTTTTTTTTTTAAAGCCCCATAGTTTTTGAAAAGGATTTCTCACTTATTGCAAGGTAGCAAGAGTACCACCCCAGAAGGGTTAAAATGAGAAGGAAAAACACCGATATGTCACCCGGTGAGCTTTCCACGGGAGGGCTGGAGCTCGAGCTTTAGTGGAGCCCTGTGAAAATGGCCAGGCCCAGAGTGCCAAAGACAGCCCTGTGTCCCTGGAGGCACTGGGGTGTCCAGGAAGCACTGGGGACAGAACAGCCTCCGGCAACTGTTCACAAGCCCGAGCAGGAGCCCTAGTAGCATCCCCGCGTCTCTCCCGCTGGGGGGATGGACCAGCCTGAGGACCGGCTCTTCCTCGGCATGGCATGAGGCCAGCAAGGCGAGGGCTTTCAAGGAGATGAGGCTCCAACTTCACTTCCAAAGCGACTCCGCCGCTTTTCCTGAGCCCCACCAGAGACTGGGTAGGGCGGAAGAAAAGCTACAACAATCCTGGGTTCTCAGATAAGGTCTGTTTCCTTCTGCAGCTGGGGCGCTATTGTCTTAGCCTCTACAAATACTCCCCAGGCGATGCTGGGTGTGGCCCGAAGGAGGGGATCCTCCCACTCATAAAAAGCTCTGTGCTTTCTGGGTGAGACACAGAAGGAAGCTCTGGGGCTCAAACCTCATTTACGTGATGCTTGGCCAGAAACCCCAGTTTCCCAGGAAGCCCAGGGAAGCAGAATCTCAAGCCCCACAGCCCGGCCTTCTCCAGGACACTGAGGGAAACATCCTAACTAGCACACAGCTCAAGCTTCGGGTCCCCAATCCCCCCTACTTGTATCAAAACTTGCCCACCTTTCCCAGGAACCAAAGTCCCAGGGAAGGCAGGGGCATTAGCACAGCCACCAATCTCAGAAACAGGTAAGGCAGGGTGCAGCCAAGCTGTGGTCTGGCCGGGTCTTAAGCAATCTCAGGCCAAAGAGGGAAAGATGGTGCCATTCTTAAACCTCATGTGACCTGCCCTGTAAACCCAGCCAGGCAAGAACGTCCCCCTTGCCAAGAGCTCTTGGGATTGTTCCAGTTGGGTAGTAAGATCACTTTAAAGAATTCTTTGCCTTTCATGAACGTGACTTTCCGTGAAGAAAAAGGAAAGAAAAACATGCCCTGAATATACGTGTATTGAATACTACGCACCAACAGCCCCACGAGGTGGGTACCACTGTACCCGTTTCACCTGGCTAGGATCACCAGCTACTACACGGGAAGCTGTGACTCAAGTCCAGGTCTGTGAGTCTCTGTCAGGCCCCCATCCCGGGAGGACGAGGGTCCAGAGAAAACATTCATGCCTCTCTCTCGCTCGGGTTTCGCTCTGAAGTCACAGAATCATCACTGAGACCTGGCAGGGGCCCAGCCAGGGCAGCCAGTCCAGCCACCATTTCACAGGCCTGAGGCCTGGACCTTCTCCAAGTCACTCAGCAAGTGGACAACCCAGTCAAGACTACAAGCCCCCGCCCAGGTGACTCCATCTCCTCTTCACACATCTCGGCTCATCTGTCACTTCCTCAGGGAAGCACTCCTCTACTTTACAACACCCCCCAGACTAGATCTGGTCTCCCGGGGACGTGCTCTCGAGGCTCCCCCCACACTGAGGTAACACACACTGGAAACGTGCACCTGTGTGGACAACTGCCCATGTGCTGTTGGCCTCCTGAACTAGAGTGAAGCCCCCAGCCACAAGCACAGCCCCAGAACCCGAGGGGGGCTTACCTTCGCTGTCAGTGAGCACTTCCATGCGCCCGCTGAACATGGCTTTCAGCATGGTGTCCTGCTTGGTCAGCGTCTGCATGGTGGTGTAGTAGAGGGCCCCGCCCACATTCAGCTTCACGTACTTGGAGCTGGGGCTCGTGCCCTTGAAGGAAGTGGTGCGGGTAGCAGCCGCTGGCACCGCTGAGCTCACCACACTTTCTCCTGACATCTCTTCCTGCCAGTGAACACGTGGAGAAGACACAGGGTCACCAGAGTCACAGAACCAGGCCTGCTTTACCTCGGTCGGTCAGCCTCTGGGCTGAATCGGGCCTCCAGAGGTGTTTTGTTTGGCCCAAGTCTATACTGCATTTAAATCTCCCAAGGCTGACAACTCAGGAGAGATCACCAAAAAAACCCTGGATTTCTGGCTTCTCTTAAAATCAAAGGCCAACTGGGCCACCAGGGCTCCCACAACTGGTGGGAGCTGGGGTACTGGCTGCCCCAAACCCCACCCAGATAGCCTCATATACTGACCTCACCTGTTGGCCCAAGTCTATACTGCATTTAAATCTCCCAAGGCTGACAACTCATCTGCTGACCCTATGGGCCCAAGTTTACCACTGACTCTTGTGTCCTGAGGACTTCCTTTCTGCCTGGTCCCCACATAAGCCAACACCCTGGATGCATCCTAAAGCAGCTCAAAGCACTGCCCGGGTCTCTCTCTGTTTTATTGTCACGCACCACTCAACAGCTGAACTGCAGATGAAATTGAAATGAAAAGCAAGATTTTTTTTTTCAAGATTTTATTTATTTATTTGACAGGGAGACACACAGCGAGAGAGGAAATACAAGCAGGGGGAGTGGGAGAGGGAGAAGCAGGCTTCCCGCGGAGCAGGGAGCCCAATGTGGGGCTCGATCCCAGGTCCCTGGGACCATGACCTGAGCCGAAGGCAAGACGCTTAACGACTGAGCCACCCAGGCGCCCCAGATGAAATAGCTTTTATGAATCGAGTAGGATCCCAACTACCACTCCTAATCCTTCCTGGGGGGTGGGGGGAGGAGTGTTTCTCAGGACTACGCGACAGACATTAAAAACCCCTGGAAGCAAGTTAGTGCAAAATTAGAGACTTCCTGTACTAGCGCCGCCCCGAACAGCAAGATCTGGTGACAGTCTCCTTAATGGCACGGCCAGCTCGTGTCCGTCTCAGAGAAATGGATATACCGTCTGATTTAAGCAGGCCTACAAAAGGAGACTGGTACCTGGCAGACATGTACTCAACAAGAACATTTCTTTGACATGTTTCTTTGACACATTTCTTCTTTGGAGAAGATGTCCAAGAGCGGGCTGAATCTTTATGACTGTGGGGCACAGCACAGAGGAAGCGGCCCCTGACAGCCATACCTGGCCCAACACTCATCTCTGGGCCTTGATGTTTCCACCAAACATGAACAATTCATACAGCACGTCACCATCTGACAAGGCCACTCAGTGGCTGATGGGTCAAGACACAAACAAGACTACTCCATAATTATGTCTGAACACAGACAAAAACAAGACCATTGCCCAAAACAGAAAAAGTGACCAAACATCACCATATCCTGACCAATGTGACTCACTGCTGCTTCTTTACCAACTAGAGCTTTAGCCCCATTCCATTCTTCCCCACCTTCAACACAGGAATTACTGAGACCCCATCCAAGAATTAACCCTCTTTCCTGACAGCATTCAATACAGAGCAAAGCCTCACTTCCCTGAATCCTTCCCCAAAACCACCCAAGACAAGCCCCAATCCTCTGAGATGCTCCGTGGTTCTCCCTCATTGCCACAAGGAAATAAACCCCGCTTTGACAACAGGCATGCTCCGGGGGGAGGGGGGGGAAGGTTTGAAAGCGCAAAGCTTTAAAAAACGATACCCTGATCCTGAAAAAGGATTGTTTTTTTAAAATTTTTTATGCCTTTCTATCTTTTCCGGATCTCCCACAATTAACGTGTATTACATTCATAATGGGAAAAACATAAATGTTATTTTTCAATGGGAGAAGGGGCTAATGATGAGTGGCAACCTGCTGTCCAGTGATCTGGAATAGCAGAGGCAAGGGCCAACCCTCTCGACCTCCATCCACCCAAAAGAGCGGCCTGGAAATCAACCACTGGGGGGCTCCTTTTGGGGCCTGCACGATGGCACAGGAAGAATGGTCTCCTGGAAAGAAAAGTGTTTTCTCAAGAAAGTGTTCTTGCTTCATCAAGTGAATATATCCCAAGAAGGTACTCAAAAGCTCAAGCTTAACTCACCTGGGGTCTCTATGGCCTAACGCCACAAATAAAAGAGGTAGAGAGAAAGCAGTGACACCTCCCTTCCAGCTTTCCTTTGAAATCGGTCCCCAGAAGCCCTACACTAAAGGTTATCACCAACACTTCGCCCCAGAAATACTCGTCCATGGGATGATAGAGGTAGCTCGGGAGAAGAAACAGTTTCTCAAAACTTTGAAGACCTAGGGCACAGGAGGAGGGTGAAGGCCTACAGGTGTGGAGTTGTGGGGTTTTTCAGTTGGGAAAAATTGCTCCAAAATGGAAATTTTTAAAGCACCCTTTCAGATCTAAATTCACACAAAAATACGTGTTTTGGGCAATGGTCTAGCGTTTTGTAAGGCGCCTACGAAACAAAAAATCATAAACTATACTTCAATGTACTTTTACTTTCCAATACCTTTTTAAAAATAATTTGCCTACAGTAAAGTATATTTTAAGTGCGCAGTTTGAGGAGTTTTGGCCAGCATATGCATCTGTGCAGCCACCACTCTGATCAAAATAGAGAACACTTTCATGGTTCCAGAAAGCCCCTCCGTGCTCCGCACCCCCCCGCCAGAAGATACCAGTTTTCATCTCTACCACCACATACAACATTTAAAATCCAAACAATGCTGGAACACAGCTACTGTTATTTCCAGCTAGTCGATTCAGATAGCGTGGCCCAGAGAAGTTCAGTCACTTCCCAAAGTGCACTGATACTGGAGGTGGGTCAGTGACAGAGCAACAGGGGCAAGTCCTGTCTGGCTCTGAGCCCATGATTTTATCAACATTCATGCTTGAAATACATAGAGCTGGAACATATACATGGAGAAAGGAGTGCCCCACCCTCCCTTCTTTATCAAGTACTAAAAAAGCTTTGAAAAAAGATGGAAGGCAATGTGTGGCTAAGTGCTTGGGTTTGGAAGTCAGACCTGAATTTAAGCGCCCAGGCCTGCCATTGATTGACCAGTTGTGGGAGCCTGGGCGAGTCATCTGAGTCTTGTCCCGTCTATGAAACAGAGACAACAGCAGTGTCTCCCTCCCAGGACTGCTGTGAGGGATGCCACAGAGCACTCAGCTCAGCCTCCGGCTCAGAGCACACACCCAACACGAAAGACTCACACGATGATTATTTGAGAATGCTCTCAAAGACTCAAATTATTTTCTCTCTGAAGACCATTTCCATCTCTACCAACATCCACCCAAATCACTAAGAGATAAAGGCAGAAACTATCCGGATGCATCTAGTTTGAGACTCCGGAATAGACAAAGAAAGCTCTGAACCTTTCCGGAGCCCACCCTTCCAAAGGTCAGTCACCTCAATACTGGGAATGGCTCTTGGATAAAAGGTTCTGACTGTTCGTGTCCCTGAGCCCACATGACACTGAGCTAAGGACACAAAGCAGCAGACAATAAGCCTCTCCCAGCATCTCTCTCCACAGAAGACTCCCCAGCCATTGCTACTGGGATCCTGCTTTTTCACTTGTTTCAAAGATTTGATTTCATCACTAATGAGGTTGGGGAGGTGGGGCAGGAAACAGCAAAACTGGTTACAAGAAACAAAGACGGAATTGATACTTGAGGTATTGGTTACCAATTCTATTCACAGAAAAGTTTAATCCAGTTAGATCTCTCCAGAGTATCCTGTTGCAGATTCTAAACAGTGGCTCTCCACTTAAAAAAAAATTACTGACATCAGGGTCCTATCCGTGTAAATTCTGATGTTAACTGGTCTGGGCAACAGAAGTTTTTTAAAACTCCCCAAGGTGATTCCAATGTGCAGCCGAGATTGCAACCCATCGCTCTGAACAGTTCTGTACACCTACTAACTTCATCATCTTGGAGAAGCTCCCCAACCTCTTATTCTATTGGCCCAGTGAATTCCTGATCACACATAAAAATAAACCAAAGCATCATAAACAAAAGCCAGCCCCCATCTCACAGCTTCAGAGCCACAGACAGGAAGCAACTGTATACATACTTAAAAAATAAAAATCAGCCCAAGGAGGAAAAGTGTTGACTTGAAAAGAGGCTTGGGCAAGTACAATAGGAGAAAAAGGCACCAACTCCCTCACTGTTGGATGTTTTCTACAGAGCTCTCTGTGGAACTGTCTCTCTCTTGTGTGTTGGGGGGAGATGTGCATGTGGAAGGTTCGATCAAAAGTCTGAGCAACCTAGTCTGAGCAACCTAGACTAGTCGCAGTTCCACCACTTCCTGTGTGAGGTTCCGACAAGTGTTTTAACAGAGTCTCAGCTTCGTACTTTGTAAAGTGAAGGTAAAGCCGTAATCTTCATAAGAAGCTTCAGGGAATGAATGTTAAAGTACTTGGCACCTGGCCCTAAAGTCCCTCAAACTTAAAGACCGGAGGTCCTAGCGCAGGCTGTACTACAATCACCTGGGTGCACTTAAAAGCAGATGCCTGGGCTTCACCTCAGGCCAATTAATCAGAATTCGGGGCAGGGGTGGGGGACGCTCAGCAGTATTTAAAAAGCTCTTCAGATGATCTAAGGTGTAGCCCCAGCTAAGAGCCACAGAGCTAAGCTGTTTCTTTAACCAGCTTGATCTAAGAGTCACTGCCTTTTGGCTAATTATAAAACTTGCCCAAACTAAGGGCATTTCTACAACTCAGGAAAGTCGACTACTCCATTTCAACCAAACTGCATTACATCAGCCACGTAACTGTAGTAGTATTTTGCATCCAAAACTTGCTCACAGGGCAGCTACTGCTATTTCCAAGTGTTCTGCTAAATTACTTGCTCTCCCTCTGTGTAACCTGCAAACTATTGGCCTCTTTCCCCCAGGGGTCCAGTGAAGAAGATGTCATCATCAATCCCACTTTTTAGGGGAGAAAACTGAAGAATCAGAACTAGAAGGGTCCTCTGACTCAGGCCCCTTTCATTACAAAACCCAAATCAAGAAATCAATCTCCTACAGGGCGTGTTAAAACAGATTGAGGGGCCCGACCCCCAGACGAATTCAGTAGTAGGGCTTGAAAATGTGGCCACTTCTAACAAGTTCCCAGGTGATGCTGCTGCTACTGCTGGTCTGGGGACCAGTTTGAGAACCACACTGGTTTAATGCCTCCTTCCCCTCAGGTGGTCCTGATTTTGCATAAAATGGAGCAAAGTCAGATACAGGTTGGCTAAATTTTCTTCAGCAGGGTCCTTGAAACTCATCTTCTCCAAAGACTGCATTTTCCAGGAAAGACACAAGGCAAAGAAGTAAAAGAGCAAGGCTGAACTTTGGTCGTTCCCACCCAGGGCCAAAGAGCCATTTAAGGTATAGACCCTTTAAGGATCACAAGCAAACAGAACCATTCCCACAGCTGTGTGACAGCATGTGACCCATTCCCAGCTCCTTAGGTGTGGCCCTTCGGGCTCCAACGGAAGTGACTAGATAGGTACCAAAGCGCCAGTTAAAGGCGCTGGACTCCGTGGGTGAAGGTACCCTGACCTCAGGCCCCCGGCATCCTTCTAGGCACCGGATGCACATCTGCCCTCCAGCTCCCTCTATTTCTCCCCCCGCCCCCATGCTTAGAAGCACCTGGAAGTCCCTTCGCCACTTCGCCGAAACCCAGAGACTGCAGTCACAACTTCCAGAAAACCCCAAACGCTCCGCCCCAAGGAATTCCACGTCGCTCTTTCATAACCTAACCGTTTTCTTTCGCAACACCCTCCCATCTTCACTTTCCACCCCAATGTCCATCTTCGACGACCCCTCTTTGTTCTCCTCACAATCACCAATCCCATTTCCAATGAGCACTCAAGACTCAGAGACACCCCAACTCACCCCCACACAAATCTACTCCCCCAAGCCCAAATGCTCTTTCCCGATCCCCAACAGCCAAGGACCGCCCCCTCCCAATTATCCACCGAAGCCCTTTCCCCCCCCCCCCGCCTCCCCCCCCCCCACCTCCCCCCCCCCCCCCCCCCTTTTTGCGCCAGCCCCCCACCGCACCCCCCCCCCCCCCAGCCCCTTCTCTCTCTACTCTGCCTCTGCCGGGCTCTCCCAGCCGCCCAGAACCCCCAGTCGGTGGGCAACGCCCTCCCTACCATGAAAAGTCGGAGGACGCCGGAGTCTCCAAACCCGGACTGAGAGGCAGGAAACACCCAGCTCGCGCGAGCCGGGGGCAGAGGCGGGGCCGGGGCGGGAACTTCCGCTGCCGCAGCCCGCTTCCGCCCCGCAGAGGGTGCTGTCTTAAAGGGTCCGTCGTAAGCCTACACATTGGCTGCGTTCCCTCCAGGCTCCCCGGCTGGAGTGGGTTGCATCTCCTCTTGGCTGGATCGGACACTAACCCGCTCTTGAACGGCCCGCTTTTTTTTCCACCTTCCAAAGAGGAGGGAAAGATGCAGGGCGGTCGTCCTTCCCGGGTACAGAAGCTCTGCGGAACTGTCGTTCACCGGAACTGGATGGTTGCTTCCCAGCGGAGCTCTAAGAGCGGACACCCCGGGGCAAGATGGCGGTCGGGCCTAGGCCGCTGCCCCGGGTCTGGCAAAGCTCGAGGGTATTGGGCTGAGGCGGCGATAGCTGCGGCCCCGACCCCGAGCGCAGGGTCCTCGAGCGGATAAAGGTCTACGGCCTGTGGGTAGCGAGTGGGAACACGGTTGGGGGTTCTCCGGGTGGTGGGGGGGACCTTGAGGGAGGTGGCCCTTTGGCCGGGTCCCTGCCTCCCCAAGTCGGAGGGCAGGTGTTGGGGACTGGCTGTCGTGTTCCAGGGGGGAATCTCTTCGTAGCCGTTTCCACCCTTTTTCATCTCTGGGACGATAGGCTTTTTATAGACAGACTAATGCTGGGTGAAAAAGATTTGTTATTGTGGTTGTTGATGCCGAGGGAAGATGCTGGGCTCAGGAGTCACCCAAACCGGAGTTCGAATCCTATTCACTCGCTGTGTGACCTTGGGTGAGTTCCCTCACCTCTCCGAGCCTCGGTTTCTTGCTCTGTAAAATGTAGTAATTAGCTTGTTTCACAGAGGAGGTCCTGTAATAACAAGTTTTAGCGTCTGACACTCAGCTCTCTCAGTAGAGACAGCTGGTGTTAATGATTTCAATAAGAAAAACTTGGTGTAATCGGACTCTAACTTAGCCCTAGCGGCAGCCTTGCCTACTCAGCTTTTCTTTGCCGGCCTGTGAGTGACGGAGTCCCTTAGTCTTATCTGTTTCACTTAATTAATTGCTTTGGCGTTAGAGGTGGCTTCAAATTCAGGAGTCTAGTGACCTCTCACCAGTCGTGTCCCCTTTACATTTCATTTTCTCTGTGTGAAGGTGGGATTGATAATTACATGCACCTGGATAGGATGTAGCCTTCAATAAATGATAGCTGTGGTTCTTAATAGTCTAAGTCCTGTTGCCTATTCTTTAAAAATTGGACCCCTGAGACCTTCAAGAGCTGTTGAAAGACAAAATTAGTTAAATATCTGTGCAGTGTCTGATACATGATCCCCCTTAAATGGTGGTGGTCACTAAACTTGGCTGCCCAGCTCTTCCACCATAGGGGGGAAATCCTCTTGGGCTCAGACAGCAGTTGATATTTATGAAACTTCACCTTTGGATGATACCCTCTGGACTCTTTCATAATTCTCCATGAAGCGGACCTCGTCCAGGGAAGACTGATTTTGAGCAGATACCATGGGAATACAGAAGTAGAAAAGCATCTGAGGCCTGTCTCAGTATTAAAATCTTGGCTCTGCCCCTTAATAATGGTCTAACATGGACTATGGGACATAACTAAATGATCTCACGTGGTTGCTGGTCTTACTATGTAGAAGGGACATGACACATAACGGATATTTAATCAACTTATTTTCCTTTTTGCTTTTTGAATAATCTTGGTTATCACCAACCTCTTGTGTTTGTAATTTTTCCACATATATCATTTCCCTAACTGGATGGTAAGCTTTTTGTTGTTTGTTGTTGTTTGTTTTTTAAGCCTAGATGATAACAGTAAAGCTCAGTTACCTGCTATCTGCTTTCAGATACTCCCTGTTAAAAATTTCCCACTTAATCCTATCACAGTGTCATGTTGACTAGGTCACAATAGAAGTGTAAATGTTTCAACTAATTCTTTTAGCACCCCTAGGAGGTAGGTACTATTATCCTCAACTTACAGATAAAAGAAACTGAGGCCTAGAGCAGATAAAGCAATTTGGCCAAATGAGGTAGAATCAGAACTAAAAAGAACCAAGGGTACTTTGATCCAGGGTTTTTTCTACTACATACAGCCTTTTCTTTGATTATGTCAAAGTTTGTGTAATCCTTCATTACAGTAACTTTGAGTACATAAAGACTTCATAATGAGCTTTATGTCTTTGCTAGTAGATTCTAGGCACATAGAAGAAGTGAATAAGAAGGAATTAAGAAAAACTGCAAAGTACAGACTATGGTGTAAACAGAAACATATAGTATTGCTGAGGGGATGGAAATTTCAAGGAAGAGCTCTTCTCCTTCAAGTCCCCCTGGGAGAAGTAAAAGTTTTGAGGTAGTCTTACAGCTGCTTTGTCACAGTTTGCCTATGCGTCCTCTGGTTTTACCATTGAGAAGAGGCTCACTCTCCTCCTCACACCTTGTGCGCCCCCCCCATGAGGGACTTGTCTACATGTTAGCGAATGATCAGACCATTGTGCTGATGGCTTGGGCCCTTTCTTTGGCGGCTCTCAGGAGCTTGAAGCTGTTACTCAATCTAAACAGGGTCTTAGCCCAAGTGACAGGACTGGTGAATCTTAGTGCACCCAGGGATAAGACAAAATTTAATGGGTGAAGAATGTAATGGTCCCAGCACTATTTCCTACCCAAAGAACCTGCATGACTGTGCAGATGAGAGCCTCTACTGAAGAGTTGTTTTTTTTTTTTTAAGATTTTATTTGAGAGAGGGAGCACAAGCAGGGGGAGGGGCAGAGGGAGAAGCAGACTCCCCACTGAGCAGGGAGCCCCGACTCGGATGCAAGGCCAGATTCCAGACCCCCGGGATCATGACCTGAGCCAAAGGCAGACGCTCAACCAACTGAACCACCCAGGCGCCCCTACCGAAGAAGTTTAAAAAAAAAAAACAAAAAATTCATGTCTGTAAAAATAATGCATCGATTACTTATTGGCTGTGCACTCTGTCAGCCACCTTGATAGGTATTTGACATACACCATCTCATTTGGTCCCTCTTCGCCTCTGCCAATTCAGAGATAAAGGCAGAAAGCCTCTGAGGCATTTCTCTACAGGACCTGGCGGAGCTGGGGACCGGCTCCAGCTCTGTGTGACTCCAGAGCATGTGTGCTTCTCAGTGCCATTCTGCCTCACCATGTGCTTTCTGCAGAAAATTTAGAAAACAGACTAGTTAAGGAAACAGAACTTCCTACCTCAAAAAAACCGCCCTCAACATGTTGGTGTATTTTTCCCAGCTTTGTGCCTCTGTGCACATGCATTTTTCTTTTTCATTATGTAATTGGGATCATATTGGTTCACAGCCAGCTCTTTTTTCATTTCTCTGCCGAAAACATTTTTCATATTGTTAAAAAATGTCAAACATAATTTTCAGTGGCTTTTTAACATTCCATCCCCTCTGTTCTTACTATCATAAAGCAAGTATAGCTTTAATTCAGCTTCTCTGGGATTGTTTTCAGCCTATTCCCTTTAAACTGAAGGCCTGGGGAGATACGGTGTAACATTTAGATCAGACATTAACTAAAAAGGACACTAGTGTTTTAAGCCAGAAGCATTTTTTATTATTTTTATTCAGTGAGGAAGATCTAGGATGCCCTACCTATAAAACTTAACCCTGAATCTGGACTTTTTTTTTTTTCTTGCTTCTGCTTTTGCCAGAAAAGATAAGCTCCTCTGAAGCAAGAAGCTGCCCTCAGCTGTGAGTCCTCAGCAGCATCGCTAATGATTACCTGGCGTTTCTGTGTCACAGGCAGGTCCTCAGGTGAGCTCTCCAGACTTGCTTGGGCAGAGAGAGCAGGTGATTAAGAAGACTGTTATCTTTTCCTCCCCTGCCTTCTTACCCTCCCTCCTGTGATCAGGTGGGCTTTGTTCATTTGTTTGGACAGTTACTGATGAGAGACTCCCGTGCTGGGAAAGTCTTGTTATTTAACAGATGTGAATCGCTGTTGAAAAGGGACCACAGAGGCCCCTCGGTAGGTTGACATGGGGGGAGCCCTGAATGAGCTTTTTATTCTTAATGGTGTTTTCACATGGGCACTGCTTTGAGGGGGGTAACATAGTAAAGAGATTGTTTTCCTGAAGTCTGTATTTCTGAGTAATCGATTTCAGTCATTTTGTCAGCTGGGCTGATTATATATTTGGGACAGAATGACAGTTTTCGAGCATCCAAAAAATCATCTCAGTGTGGGAGGCTCCCTGGACCAGTGTTGTGTGCGCTAGGCTGATAGCCAAAGCCACCCCTTTGGGAAAAGACAGTTACTGGTGATTTAGATAAAAATGTAATGGATAATTGAGAGGCTCTGTCCAAAACATGCCAGTCAGTGGATGGCAGAGTTCTGCTCCAGAGTCTTCCTCTGCCGTTGGCAAGATGGGATCAGTCAGGACAGCAGAACAAGTTCTACAGAAAACCAAACACATTCAGTTTAACAGATTGTCTTGCATTCTGGAATCACATTTGGCTTTTTTAACATGAAAATGGCCCCTTTTCCAAAAAAATTAAGGGTTTCTTTCGGGGTAGGCACAAAATAAGTGCCAGTAAATATTTGTTGCATGAATGGCTGAATGAAATAATGACAGTAAATGATTATTTTTTTCCTCCAAGTCTTGACTTGGGAAAATAAATTTGACTGCTCAGTGTTAGACTGTTCCAGAAAATTCGGTTATCTAGGAACCTTTGACCTGGAGGATGCCTGGTTTGCATTAGAGCTTTATGGATGGAATCGATTCATGCTTTGCTCATCTGTTAAACGATTATGGAGCCCATACCCTATGGCAGCTGCTGTGCTTTTTCTCTTAAGAAGATGTAATTATTTAATACAGGGAAGAGCATCGCTGGTCTAGATGAGTCGCATGAAAGGAGCCGATAGGAAGTTGGGACTTGTGCCAGGAGAGCTGTTAGCCCTTTTGGAGGGCACAGAAGCGTCCCTAGTAGCTCTTTGCTGCCGAAGTGCCTGCCCGCCCTTGGCTCCTGAGCCCCTTCCT